GGCAAGCTGCTGTGAGGACATTCAGCAGAATAATGCTAACATGGGATGTATACTTTGAAGTCAGAATGGTAAGAGTTGAAATAAATCTGCAGCAATCTTTGATCAAGGGAAATTTAACAATAAGATGATCAGGGTGTGTAATTAAGTGTAATTAACTCAAGAAGGAGTTTGTGCCATATGCTTGTATAACATAAAATGTAGGTTTCTAAGATTGCAGACTTGGGGAAATTAAGGGACAGTTTTACTAATGTGTAACTGAAAGTGCTGATTTGCATTTTGGTTGGACAGAATCAGGAGAACAATTGTTTTTAGTTTGATATTTAAAAAAAAAAAAGTCAACACTTTTCTCCAAACTGCAGTTCATGTCTGAGAAGAGTCAGGATTTCTTGTTTTAATGCCACAGTATTAGAAGTATTAAGATTGCCCTTTCTTTGAGCACCATTTAAAAAGTCTGCATAGCGGCTCCTCTCACTGACTGACCCCAACTAATGCTGGAGTCTATTTCTTTTAAGTACACAGTTATATTAACTTTCATTAATAATACTTATCATTTTCTTTACAAAATATTAATGTTCAGAGCACTATATAAACATAGTTTCATTACTAGTTGTAACTTAGCTAATTAAGTATTTTGTTTTACAGGTGTAAGAATTAACACGGAAAACCAAACAATTTCCCAGTGTACTAGTTCCCATTAGTTTTATGTTAGAGAGAAATTTAACTCAGTGAAATTAACGGTAGGATTATTTTGAAACTAGCATCTAAATGCAGATGCGTACATTTAGGCTAGCTGGCTAAACTCCTGTAATAGTCAATGGAGTCTAGACAGCTACTCTGCCAGCCGGAGAGGTTTGATCCACAGTGGTCCTTTGACAGGCACCTCGCCCTATATTAGGTGCCATGTGGTTTCCTATGTGATCTGCAGCTGCTTCAGAAAGGTGCGAATCCTGTGTCAGATCTGCCAGCAGCATGTGGATATCTGGGATAGCTTAACAAAACTTTAAAGTTGCCTGTGTGTGGAGAGCTGAACAAGGTGCAGGTGTCGACTTCAGAATTATCTGAATCACTTTTTAGGATCCTTTAGGATCCTTAGGATCCTAGATTGGCTAGATATCTGTGACCTCAATAAGAACTGATTTTTTGTACAGTTCTATATTTGTGCATTCCCCTTTAATAGGACAAGGTGTTAAGGAGCAGATATCAAATTATAATTCTTAGTGGTAAACATATAAATCTGATATTTACCCAGTTTGTTGACTTTTCTCCAACACGTCAATCTTGGTAGAGAATATGCAGCAAAATGTGGTCTATCAGCATTTTAAAAGTGTCTTAAAACGGAAAGTCATGCAGTTACACTCCCGAAAATCTGGAATGAAAGTCCAGCTACTGCATAATGATGAATGAAGGCTGTTATCCTTTCAGAAATAATTCTCAGTTTTTTAATTTAAATCCTCCTGAAGCTACTCCAGGTTGTACAGAATCACTGTCCTGGTTCCAGGCTTTGTTAGTCCCAGCAGAGAAACAAATGAGTTGAACTGCTTTTAACATTCTAGAGTTAGTTATTGTTATATTAATGGATCAGCCAGTAAAAATAAGATAGGACTATTGTGTGTATTTTACCCATTCTAATCCCTAAACATCTGCTTCTAAATCTGTGTTCTGATGCTTTTCACCATCAGTGAAAATTACAACTAGGAGATGAAAAGGTCTCTCTGGACAACTGCATACCTTTTTTCCTTACTTATCTAAGAGTCATAGAGTATAAAATATTAATCTCTAGATCAGTATTTGGAATATTTTGCAACTTACTGTGTTGTTTTAGTGTCAGGCACAAACAACGAGATAATCATTCTTATGGAGTGTTTTAAATCATAACCTGTAGTTTTGATCAGATAAATCTAAACCGTGGTGGTATAACTTCAAGGACGCTCAGCTGCTATTCACTGGTGTATAGCTAACTGAGATATAAACTTTAGATGATTTTTTTTAGAGTGTAACTCTTGTTATTTTAGTAAAACTACATAAAAGCATGAACCTGTATTTTTTCACACAACATCCTGAATTTGCTGTTGACTTGGGGCAATGTTAGAAACAACTGAAACACATCTTCTTTTTCAATAGTTTGAGCTTATAGTTCATTATAGGATTGCTTGCTGCTTACTGAGCTTAAAAAAAGAAAAGGAAGTATGCTAGTGAATACTTTTACTTGTAAAAGTCAGTTCCCCAGTCATCTTTTTCCATGTATTAATCATCTTTTTGGAAGAAAAAAGCAATATCTGAAGGTGCCTTTGTAATGCCTTTTTGTAAATGCTGATCTTTCTAGACCATCTATAAAGTTATGTGTGTTCTGTGATTCATGAGAATGATACTTTGCTCCTGTGATTACATTAGGGCTTGAAAAAAGGTCATAGCAGGATCTGGTCTCAAATGTAGACGCTCATGACATAGTGCAACTTCCTTTAGGAAAGAAAGGTATGGTTAGAGAAATCCAGATACAGTCCACTGGATGAAGGAAAGGAGCTATCTCTAGGGCCAGTCACAGTCTTTGCCTGTATTACAGACACAATGCATTCTCTCATTTAAATTCACTGTAATATTATTTTCTGGCACTGAATGTATAAATGTGTATTTGCATAAGTATTTAAGTATGGGAAATGTTTTATAAATTGTACAACAAATCAACAGAGCTTTTCAGATCCAGTTAACATTGAGAGTGTCCATGTTTAGAAGAATGATACAATATGCTATATTTCTTAATGAACTTTTTGTAAATTTGTTTAATATATTGCTTCAGTTTGTGTTTTTCGTTTTAGCTTTGGAGATAATATGCTCTAATTTCTTATTTTAGATGAAATATTGAATCATCAGTTTAAATGCTGAAATTCATTCTTAATTATCTTATTAATGATAATTATAATTAATATCATTAATTATGTAAAATAAGCATATATTTAGCACTACCAGTTAAATCGGACATTTATAGCGTCACTCTAATACGTACCTGCCCTCTTTGGGATGGTTTTATGAAGCATCCTGCAAGACAGTCAATTTAGGCAGTTGTGCAACAAAGGGAATGAATTCTAGATAGCCCTGATTTCAGATGCAAAACTTTGCCAGCAGAAATTAACTCAACTTGCTTTATATTTATAAAAGCTCTTTGAAGAGAACCTTGTAATAACATCCTTTTCATTTAGAATAATATCTATAACCTGTTTTATGAAATCTCAAATGTTACATTATAATTACAATAAAGCAAAGTGGAGTATAAGAATCTTTTTGGTCAGATGGGACACATGGAAGAATCTTCCATTTACCTTCCCTTTCCCAAGGAAATATTCTTTCCTCCTCCCTTTTTTTTTTTTTTTTTGGAAAGCTGTTATTCCGAACTAATTTTTACCATTACTAATTACAATGATGGAATGTTTCCAAGGAAAATATACAAGGCAGCCACTTTCTAAACCCAGTTTCTCTCACTAACTAATGTTGATGGCAACACATTTAGACACAGTAATTTGCATAGCAGTTGAATCACTGTGCTGAAAAGCAAACCAAAGGATAATTCAGAAAAACATAAACATGCCAAAAGAATGTGAAGAAACAGTTATTTTATTAATTTTAAGAAAGGAGTTGAAATAGCTGCGTAGATGCTAGGAGGAAAGAACATCAAGTAAATCTCCTTGTTTATGAAAGAAATTTTAATAATTTCTTGCGTATGGTCTAATCCCCTTTTCAAAGGGCAGGTGCCTGAAGATAGCTCTCCAATCTGCATACAGTCAGAAATAGGTGTTGGACTGTGAGGACGGAGGTAACAGGTCAGAGAGCTCAAGAGGAACTTTCAAAATGGGAGAAGGGAAAGAAGAGAGACATAAAAGAAAAAAGGAAAATTTATATAGGTAGAATATTTTAAGTAGTTCTTATTGTAACTGCACCATGCATTTATTAGCAATCTTTATTTCTTAAATAAGTATACACTGTTACTTTCAGTTAGCGGTTCTGTGCTTGAGTGCTGAGGGAATTAGCAGTCAGGATTCAACCCTGTGAGGCTGTTAAGGCAGTTTGATAAACCCATAACTTTTCTAAATGGAGCATGTCTTGATTCAGAGCCAGGCTCTGGCTTAGTTAGAACATTGTTCTTTTCTTGCAAAGCTTGTAACTGAACTTCTGATAGTTAAGAACAGAAATAAGCCTGCAGCATGGTTTTTATTTTTCCTACTGTCCATGAAGTTATACTTTAAGGTTTCCCAGAATTCTAAATATGATACATTTGATTAAAAATGTAGTTATATTCATAGAAGTATATGAATGAAATGAAATAAAAGGTCAGGTGACATATTCCACAGAACTCAGAGAAACTACAAGCTAACATGAAATGCTAAATATGTGCATGTGCGTGCTTAGGTATCTAACTGTTACACAAGTGAATATAAGATGCTAGGATTTTATGGGGTAGAGATTATTTAAAAAAAAAAACTTCCCTAGTGTTTCTTGAAGTGTCTATTTTTGTTGTCAAAATTGTTTCATTTCATTTTATTGAGAGAAAGTATTTATTCTGATAGTAGTCAACACTGTCTGCCCTGTTTTCCCCAGATGTTACTTGCCTATTAGAAAAGTATTCTAGGGTAAATATTGATGATCTGTTTGGTTTGTCAGTTTTCAGAAGGGATCATTTTGATCTTTTTTTGTTCGGATCTTAACATACACCAAAAAATTGATTGAAATATAAGGAAGTTTTTCTGTGAACTTGAATTTTTCCTATAATTATCTGAACCAAGCTATCTTCCTGTAGCTGTAATCTAGTCACTTTAACAGCCTATACTTGAGAGCAATCAGGTAACTGATACACTTGGTCAATTAGTTTAATTAGCTCAAAAGAAACACTGTGAAATTTGTGGAACAAAAAAATCACAGACAATATTACCCCTTGCTTTTCCTGTTAATCCGTGACAGAGGAAGTTCAATTTTATAAGTTCTATTTTTTTTTTACAGAGCTACTAGAGAAGACCCTAAGAAGAGAGGAGGAAATGGGATCCTTACAGGTATGCCGTCTGTTAAATTCACTGACCTTGCTTCTTGTAACCTCTAAAATTTTTAAATTGTCTTACCGCATTATGATTTTTTTAAAACTTGCTTGTATCTTAAATTCAGCTTTGGAAACATATGCAGCCAAACGCTGACCTGATACCTAATGAGATTCACAGCTGAGTTTCTGCCTGCCAATTAATTTATGTAGTAGAGAAGATTAAAGCAGTTAGTATTTTGCTATGATTCAATGAATCCGGTTCATCAATGAAAAGAATGCTGCTTCTTTTAAGTTGTTTTCTTTATGCCATACTGCTGGCCTCACTGAAAACGTGTGTGAATAAGTGCAAATCTGAATTTTACTTCATTGGATAGGTTAGATTTTTGGAATGTGTTGCTTTCTTCTATTACTTAATTAAAATCTTTTACTTTCAATTTTAATCAAAGACAATGTGTTAAATGTCTGAAACATTAAACGTCTGTCACTTAAGGGAACAGTTGTTATATCCTAGAAACTGATGCAATATAGTAAAACCTCATAGTATGTCATCTAGCAGTAAAGCCCCTTGTACTAACTACATTAAATTTGTGCTTTAAAAGTAAGATTTTGCTTAGGCTCTGCTTGGAGTCATATTTAAGCATAACACTCAAACAAAGCATGTATTCCTTTGAACTGAAAGTGGCAAGGAAAGCAAAGCCAAGCTGGAATGGCTAGTAAAGTGTAGGAAACGAGTGTATATATTCTTCAGAAAACACAGAGCTGAAAAGGAATTTTTAATAACAAACTGCAAAAGCAGTGCCCAACATGGGTGTTGGAAAGGTTAGATAAAATGTGAAGAGTGTATCAATAAAGCAGCATTCTAAGAACTCTACCAGAAGCACAACATTTGTGAAGGAATTAACCAAGATGCAGCTGTTAGGTAAAATGAAATTGTGTATTGACCTGAGTTTTGACCATAGGAGTTTGTTTAAAGATATGCCTGCTCTTCTCATATATTACATAAGGACATTCTGAGGGCTAGAGATATCAAAAGAATTAGTACAGAAACAGTTTGATCCAGTAAGAAGCAGCAAGTTGCAAGAACCAAAAATTACACAACACACCAATCCAGCTGTTTCCTGTTCAAACAAAAATGTTGGCCTAGCTTTCTGGCAGCTCAAGTTCAACAAGGCTGAGAGCTTGTCTGCGCAAGCAGTTTACACAGGTGCGTATCTGGTTACATCAATGTAGAAAGATCTCCTTTCATGTGAGGCAGTTCTATATCTGCTTTCATGTGAAGCACTGTAGCTGACAAATTGTTCTAATGATTTTACTTCAGATTGAATGAGGAGTAATTTTATACTGAAGAAAGTTGCATCATAATAGTATCTTGTGGTGCATGTATGTACTTGCATGTACAAAGTTGAATGCTTGCTCTTTTGGCCTTGTGGAATTCCAACCTGCAATGTACAGACAGATATGAACATTGGCCAATGCCCAATTTAAAGTAGAAAAAGAAAACAAACAAGGGACATTTTCTGGGAGCTCATGGAGTTCTTTCTGAAATGTAAGAAGTTTCTGTATGCTGCTTGAGCTTCGAGGTAAGCTCTGTGGAGGTCACCAGGAAAATATATTTTTTCTTTCTGAAATCTCCCACTACTCCTAATCCCACTACTTGACATGCGTGCCTCCGGGTGAGAAACATCACTACATGGTGATGCTTCAAGAAAAGTTCTTCCAGAAGAGCTTGGTGTCCCCTTTGTCACCCTTGTCCACTTTCTTTTTCTTTTATAGATCTTTCCACAGTGCAAAAATTGGAAACTGTAATGTTGCTGCTACTCTGAGAATAGAAATATTGGGCTATGAGTTTTCATGTGTTCCTCTAGTCAGGGAAAATGTTGGGCTGCAACTGTTCTGACAAAGATGAAATACTTTAAGTAGATAGTGTGGATCTTTATAGCTACATCTCTTTCTACATGAACCTGACTATTTTCTCATATTATGCGATCAAGATGAAAATACATGTGATATATGTGGTTCTGTGATACAGAGCATTTTGGGAAATAGGAGGCATATGTTTTGGGTGACAACACTATTTATTTTGTCGTGTTGAACTTGTTTCATATAGTTAACCAGAAAATCTGTATTTTATATATAAATTTATATTTATATATGTGTATATACTTATATGAATTTATATATAATACCCTCTGTGTAATATCTGTGTTCTCATACACATATGCTTTTTGTCTCTGTCTTTACACATATACTCATTATAATACAATTTTAGCTTGCAAGGAGACGAGATCATTTTGTTACATTCTCTTATGCTGCCCCAGGAATATAACCTCACTGCTTTTCTGAGCTCATGGGAAGGAAAAAGCCTCAGGTTATAGGGTTTTCAATTTGCTTTTTGTCAAGACCATTTCACAGTACAAAAAAAATTGCTTTCCTGAAAATATTGTGCTATACGTGGTAACTGTTTTTTGGGTGTGTTAATTTTTTAAGTTAAACACATATATTATCATATGCTGTCTGCATGTTGGATCTTGTTTCTATAATACATTTACCTTGTTGATCTGACAGTATTCTTAATTCAAATAACAGTACAAGGCCCATCTTTTCTCTCAGACTTTCAGAGAAAGCCCTAACAACTCTGTTCAGAAGTGGTAGATTTGCTTCTGCCCCCTTTCCCCAAATCCTTGTCTGTCACTCCTGAATACAGATTCGGTTCCAATATTACTCATTTCTCCAGATTTAGTATACAGTGCGAGGGTCAGCTGTGTGCATGGTGTCTGGGAGCACAGTTGCAAACCACTTTAGTTTACTTCGGAATTAGTGACACACTAATATAAATATAGAAATTTAAATACAAAACACTGAGTCTTAATTTGAAAATGTAATATCATTATTGATAATGTATAAATTACCCATGGTAAGTTTCCTTATGCATTGCATGCTAGTCCTCAGAGAATTGTCTCTGGAGATTCTTAGAGTTGTTATATTTAGAAATTGGCAGCTAGATCATGCACCTTATTTTAATAAGCAAGATATTATAAAAGCGTTGTTTATTCTGCCTTTGGAAGCATCCTGCTAATGCCATGCTCATTCTAAGACTTTTTTTTTCCTTTTTTGATTCAAGACATTTTTGCATGAATTGCTGTTTACTATCACCATGAATTTGAGACCTGTAAATATTATCTTTTTTCATAGTCATGAATTTCTTTTCTATTGTAGAGTATTGAATAAATGTTTGAAAATAAGTGTTTGCAACAGCCAGTGCAATTTTGTGGAGGAACAAGTATTTCAAAATAAATAATTTTTAGATTTTCATATAATATTTTTTGTCTCAAGGTTTTTCATGTATTCTAGACGAGCTTACAAGAAAGATTATAGACTGTTTAGTGTATATTAGGCTAGCTTTACTGAGCAACAATTTTGATGATGTTCAGTAAACTTTTATTTATGTAGCACTGCACTTTCAGTCCCTAAATGACATCCATTGTGATGGGCACTGAAAAAACATGTCTTAATAGACAGCCTTAAACTAAAGACTTTCATAATTTTTCTGATGAGGAACTAAAACACAGATAAAATAAATTTCTGGGAAATCTGAAATGTGGATCTCGATTTTTTCATTTCCAGCTCTTAGGTATAAGACATAAGTCCCCTTTTTTGTTTCAAAAAAACCTTTTTTGTTTAAAAAATGTCAAGAAAAGTTATTTTGTCTAATTTTTTAAAAACTTGCTTCTTTTGAAAGAGTCTGCAACTAGAACTGGTAAGAGGAGTATTTTTATTTTCCCTGTATGTTATTGTATTTACCATCAGTTTATTCAATGGGAGTTTTATCATTTCATTTGGTCAATCTGTTCGAGGTTTTTCTTCTGTCATGCTTCTGAATAAAACTGTTTTTTTTTTAATGGGGAAATGTGAGTCTACACCAGAAAATTAGTAGAGAAACTTACACAAGTGTGGTGTATGAAATAATGCTTAATTTAGGTTTTAAATTTATTTTACCTATATTGTTTTCAGCTGCACTGTGCGTGATATTCCAGTATCAGCTAGTTTTAATGGGATCCATTGTTTACTGGCAACATGTCAGCATTTTTTTTTAAAACAGTTGTATTTTAATAGCCTGCTAGATTTCCATCACACTTGTTTGCATGCTCATTCCTATTTTTCCTTCTAGATATTTTATGCTACATGCTTTCTAAAACAGTCTTGTTATGTTTTTTGCACATTTTCAAAACCAATCAGTCTTTTCCAGGCTATATTCTGCTTTTTTCCCTTTTACTTGATACTGGTGTATATTGTCTCACTCTTTCTGCCCATAGTTAGATTTGTAATCAAAGATGCAACTGTTGTATGCTGCTGCTGCTGCTGAACTTCACTTCCACCCCAACAATTGTTTAGTGAATGAGTTGTAAACATTTCACTAGGGTAAATACTGTAACTGTGTGTTTTCTTCAAAAGATGGTATGAGTTAACATTAGCTATTTAGTAACTCAAGTGACGCTGGCCTTATACAAATACATTAATCAGTTCACATATTCAGTTAGTAACTATTTAATTTGTCTGAGATGATAACAACTCCAAAAGTCTTTGTAACTCATTTTCACCTAATCTTTTAAAAAAAAAAAAAGAAGAAGAAGAAAAAAGAAATTTACTTTCTCAGTCTCCCAAATGGCAAGAAAAGTTTCTGGCACCCAGTTTCTTCTATTGGACTAAGAAAATTTTGTTGCAGCTATTTTTTCCAAAACAGTGAAGGCAGATCAGAATTATCTAACTTTCTTTGGATTTTAGCTATGTTTTTCCCCCTCCAATACACGGTTAGACTTTAGCAATGTGCACAAACTGGCAGCCTCTTTTATTTCTTGCAGTCTTAGCTGTGAAAGCCTTATGCAATGATGCTAGCAAATGAATTCCGGCACTCTGTGTCTTACATTTTGTTTCTGGGATTTTTTGCCCTATATAGAGCCTGTATAGCTGCTTTTGTTCATTTTCTCCTATTCTGGAAAATGAGGTGCTCAGCTCCTGAAACTTCTTTACAGAAGGAGAAAAAAGTCATAGAAGTCTCCCTACAGTCATTGACATCTTTGTCAAAGGGGTTAGGGTCATTATAGAAGTTAGAACTTATGCCTGCATCATTATGGCAATCTGAAACTACCACAAACAGGAGGAAAACTAAATGCAGGTCTGTCAGGTACTATTAATTAGACATACTTTAGGCCTACTCATAGCTTTCAGAGATCTCATAGAGGTTGTGTCCAGCTAGGGATTATAAAAACCATTGTATAAAGATTACTTTTTTGTAATATAAAGGTTTTAAGTCTTGCGAGCCACACAGAATTGATGTAAAGAAGAGTATATGAGAACAGAAAGCAGGAAATGACACTTCTGTTAAAAAGGTTCTAATACCTGTCTGGAGAATTGAAATAAATCAGCATATCAAATGGCATTTTTGTAATTCAGCTTCAGCTGTTCTCACAAATATCTATTACTATGTGGTGTAAATTCTTTGTTTCATTATATTAATCAATACTGCAGTCGATAACACACCACAAATATTTTTTGTGTCCACTAAAGTTCAAGGGTCAGTTTGAGGGCTAACGCTGAAGGTAGTGCTTTGTAAAAGAAGAGAAGTTTACCTGGGTGGGCATTTTTTCAGTTCTTCTCTAGAATTCTATAGAAAATTGGGAAACAATTACAGAAATAAACCTAATTTGTTACAGTCATTTTTACCTGTTAGGGATAGACCGGGAAAAAATGTCACCGTTCTTAGCCTAATTCACCTAAAAAGGAAAAAACTCCAGCATCCTCTCCCGTAATTTAAAAAAAGCTAATAATTGACTAAGGTAAGAATTCCTGTAATGTCTTAATGATCAGGTACTATAATTGTGGGCTCACCTAAACATTTGAACATATGATCTTTCAGTTCCTTAAAATATCATGCCTAGTTAGGACGTGGTAATACTGCCACAGTACAGTATCTAGGTTTTACTAGTTCAATAATTTTCTTAAAATTACTAATAGAGTTAAATAGAATGAATGTTAAAATGCATACATTTTGTAAATTCCTACTGTATATGCAGTGAGAGGCAATATTTTCCATTTATTTGATTTTCTGGGCCATGTAAATTCTATGTTCTTTGTATTTGGTGATGGATTAAAACTGAAACAAGCATATTTTATTTGTTTTTTCTTTTTGTCTAATATTGGACTTAGTTTTATTAATAACAAGATGACAGTCATTCTTCAGAGCTATTTTTGGATATAGAATAATGCTATAGAATTTACTCTTTAGTTTTGTAAAGAATTGCCTCAGAGAAAACTAAAACAGATGGTAGCATGGCATGAACTCCAAAACATGATAGATTTACAGTCGAGGAGGAGAGTTCAAGAAACATCTTTTAAAATAAGTGGTCAGTAGTCAAAAAAAAAAAAATCCCCAGACTTTGGGGTACATGAAAATAAAATCAAGAATACTGAAAATCTGATAGCACTGTTTGAAAAAATACTGTGGAGTAAATAAGTTTTTCAAATTCTTTCTTGACTGGTTTCCAGAGGTCCAGTCGAGTACTGCAGCCCCTATCCAGTGAAATTTGTACAAAATGCATATTACCAGCAAAAAACGAAATGAAGCCTTTTCACCATTGTTCAACTTATTTTCTCTTTATATTCCTTAATTTCTAACTGCATGTTCTGCTTTATTTGTAGGAGCGTATTATGGCTCTAGAAATGGTAAGTTTCTTGAATTCATTTGCAAACCTGTCACAATGAGATTCCTGATAATTTTTCAGATTATCAAATATATATTGTTTTTATGTATTTTTTTTAATTTCAGTTCTCTGTTTTTAACTTTCATTTTAATGTTAAGAGAATAAAGATATATATGATAGTTACACTGCACTTTTCTCTGTAGGTTTTTGCTATGGTATTTGAGCACGTATTATATAACGTACAGTTATATAACATACAAAGTAATGTAGCTTTCCTGTACAGCTCAATCCTTATGCAAACTCTGGAAAAGAAATGTGGTAGGATGGAGCCATATAAAGGATGCTATTCTTCTGCTGCTAACAGTTCAAATAATTGAAGTCCGTGTCACAGATTTAATCCTTCCAAGTAATGATTGTTTGCTTTTTGCTCGTTTACACTGGAAGGTGCAGACAGAATCATTTCGTCTGTCCGCCCACATGAACACTAGGACTAAAAGCATAGAGGCATAGGATTTTAAGATACTAAGTTGCCAGGGCATAAACCTCAATGTATCCATGTACCATGAGAGAACGCAGCTGGATTATCTAGATGTCCCAGGCTAGTAAGTCTGCATGGCACCCAGCTGACGCTGTAGTGTACCATGTGGGCTTCTTGGCTAGCTCTATCATTTCCGTACCATACTTTTTTTCCCTTAGGTAGGCATGTGCATTGTGATATCGTACAACAGAATTTATCAGGCCTTTAGTTTCTTTTTATTGGACATCTACAAGATTGCATCTAAAGAAACCGGTACTGAGACGTTATCAAGGTTGCAAATTTAAATTCTTCAGATTTACTTGTACAATATTATTTCATCCTCCTTATCCTATAATAGTGTGTGCATCTATGAAGACAGCTTAAACTGCTTCAGGTTTCAAGAAACGTATTTAAAGTATATTGAATATGATAAAACAGCTTACATCCACACATAAAAGGCCCTTTGTAAATCAGAGTTCAGTGCTGGAACTCCTTCCCTGTAGGAACAGGGAGCTAGTGTTCAATTTCAGAGTCCTGGCGCTTCACATAGAGCTATGTGAATGCAAATGTAGCCAAGATATTAGTCTGCTTAGGAGCATCTCTTCATCATGGTTTGCTTACATGACAGTCAGTCAGGCATGCATCCACTGCCATCCATTTCTCGTGAACCATGAGTTAAACTGCCTTGTCCCTTCCCAGTTTTGGCACAGCCAGAGAGTAATTTCCTGCAAATACTGCAATTTAATGCAAATTCAATCCATGTTAGTATTTCTATTTTTCTGAAGTCCTTCTATTTATCAAAAAAAAAAAGTATATATATATATGCGCGCACGCGCGCGCGCGCGCACACACACACACACACACACACACACACATTCACGATCTTTCTTCTTGTTTATAAAAAAATGTGGGAAGGCTTGTTACTAATTTTTGTCTGGATAAAAGGGGAAGAGAAAGTGGATTATTATCAATAAAATATCATTTTCTTTATAAATGCAAGTTGAGAGGCAACATCTGAATGCAATTTTGTGGTGCTAAATCCAGCTTCAAATCAATCACTGCTTTTATTATTGCTGACATAGGAAGATATTAAGGCCTGAGATTGCAGGTAAGAAAAGTATGGTCATCAGTAAGGCTATTGAATGTTCCCAAGGCACTACTTTTAATTTTGCCATAAAGTTCCTCTGTGATGTTAAGCAAATCATTTAAACTGATATTTTCACAGGCAATTAATAATTTTGTGTTCCTCTTTTTCTGGGCTACTGACTTTCTGACTCTTGAGGCCTGATTTTCAGAAATGCTAAGCTTTGGTAATAACTAAATTCAGTGTGAGCTCCACGATATAAATATATATTGCTAAGTGCATGCGAAAGTCAGATGTTAGATAGCCGATAGTGAATACTGTAAAATTGTAAGTACTTTTTACCTTTTTATCTGTTTCAGTTCTCTAAGGAGAGTAGCACTGTCTCTCCCCTTTCCCTTAACAGATCTTAAAAAACCCACACAGAATAATATTTATGCTCTCTGAATGTGCCGTGATGAGATGTGATAGAAAAGCCCTTGAGCAAAGGAATGACGAAGGCTTGTTGTTTAAGGGATAGATAAGAATCCTTCCTTTTATAGTGTGTACATGTATATAGCTATACATCTATGCAGCATTTATAGCAATGAGTACATTAGTTAAAGTACTCGTAAAAGGTATAATTTTCTTACTGTCTGTTATCCAAGTGCTCAGAGCACTACAGTGAACAAGTACAACCTGAGTCACATAGCTTATGATTTGATTCAAGTACAGAGAATGGAAATGGGATAGACACTTAAGAAATTAAATTCAAATTGAAACAAAATTCTTAGTGGAGAGATTCCTTAAACTGTGTAGACAACATTTTCTTAGGAGAATTTTGAAGGAAAGGTAGCTGTTGACATAACATGCAAGATGCATAAGAGGGCAAGAGAGGGGAAAGACATGGCACACACAAGCTAGGCAAAATGCATAGAAAAACTTCAGACCTCCAGGGCTAAGTTTCTAAAGTATGGTACCATTGGTTTGTTAGGTTAACATCATCTGCTTTTTCTTCCATAATATTCTCATTCTACTTGAGACTGAGAAGAAATTGATCTGCACAAGAATATATGAAGTTTTCTGCAGAACTGTCCAAGATCACCAGAAGCCTCTTACAATCACATTTAAAATCATTTTTACCCTGCCTGTACCTTTTAAGCAAAAGAAAGCCACGTGCATCTAACAATAAATGCAGTTTTCTAAGTCTCTAGTTTAAGATTATAACTTAAACAGAACGTCTGTTCTAAGCAATGACCTGAAAGCTGTGGCTTACGTACATATTTTGAAAGGTACGTCTGGCAGCCCACTTTCCTTCCCTTCTCTTAATATCTACCTCATTTCTACCTCCTGCAGTTTCCAGTAAAATTGTTGGTGTAGCCATGTGATGAACTCGGCAGCTTAGGCAAAAAGAATTTGTGAAAGAAATGTAACAAGAGCCTAGGCAGATCCATTTCAGAGCTCTGGATGAATAAGCCTTCTCCCTAAAGTAAGAGGCCTGAAAAAAACACAGCCTTTTAAACTCAAAAGAGCCAAGTTTGTTAGACTATAAGCTAGCATAATGAACTTTGTAAGCAGTTAAAGCTCAAAGTGAGTAGGTAAGATGGAACAGGAATAAAGAGAGGTCTCTGAGCAAATCTCTTTCTACCTACTATATCTTTACAGGGCAAGTCCTTGCTCCCAGGTTTAGTTTAATATAACTCGATGATTTTGTGAGTTGCAGCAACCTATTCTTCCCACGTTCCCTTTTATACCTTAGAAGGTCCTTTGGATCATCTCTGAGGCCTGTCAGCTCCTTCTCTTCTCAGCTGTTTGTTTGAGCTGGAATTTACATCCTTACCCATGACTTCTACTCTCTGCCATACCAGCAGTTTCTTGAACCTTCTTTCCCCCGAGCAAACGCACTTGGTTCCAAAGGAAAGTGCAGTATTACCAACCTCCTTCAGGACATTGGGCCTGACCCAGCCTTAGGGAAACTCATGTATTAGCTGAGAAAAAATAATACTTGTTACAAAAAGCTTTTGGAGTTTTTTTTTGGTGGTTTTTCTTCAATCCAATCACTTCTACAGTCTGGTTCACTGGATACAACTAGTTGTTCCAGCAGGGGACACAAGGCAGGACAGGAGCAGAAGCTTGGGAGCAAGGAAGAATAGGAGCTGCTTAGGCAGACCCAATGCTGGATGTGAAAGGGATAAAGGACCAAGGTGCATTCTTGTTGGTGACTGATTGATTGGTTGGTTGATTCTCAACTTGAGTGCTTGAGAAGTGCCAAAGGAAATGCCTGAGTAAGTACTGCAGGCAAAACTGAAGTTTCTCTTACCTGGAGATTATCTGTGTGTTTTGTTCAGATTTTTTTGTTTATTTGTTTAATACTCCTTAATATACGGAATTTAGTTATTACATAGCTATTAAAAAGACGTTTTGCTGGTTATTTTAGTAATCAGTTATGTAGCCTGATATTTTGCCAAGATGTATATGATTTATCTTCAAATAAAGTGTTTCAGTTCATTGTTGGGTGTACCTTAGTTCTTACAAATCTACAGGCTTTGACCTCATGTTATTTCTAGACAAAGGTGCATGGTTTTTCTTGGGGAATAAAGAGTCGGAATTGTGTTCTCTGATGCAGCTACAATGGGCAGTACATCTAATTCTCATAAAGAGGTAAAAATGCCTCTAGCTGATGCAGGCTGTGCTAATATGTGACTTCAGTAGGTTTCTGCAAACCATGTCACGTTGCTTATGATAATAAGCTGCAAGTTATATTCCTCTGCCTTAGCGGCACTGACTTAAAAGACAGGGAAGTTTTCTTTAAACCACCATGCCAGTTATTCCACTGAAGTTATTCCAGTGAACATGTGTGTTATATTTTCCTTGATAGATGAGATGGGTTGCTGTTTTCAGCAGAGAACTCAGAAGTGAGGATACCACTTACTCAGAATATTTGAGTCTGAATTTTCAGGACATGATTCTATTTTTTGTTACGATGTCATAAATTTAGTATAACTCTAATTATTCTGTAACTATTCTGTAAAACAGTTCTTGCATACAAATTTCCTTTTTGGTATGAGCATTTATGTGTTTTGTTGTAACTCTTACTTATGTTCATGAAAGTAAGATTTTTGAATACCAGTAATACAGATTTCTATGTGCACATACACGTAGCAGTGTAAGAGCTATTAGTTTCTTACCCTGTAGCAGTAGGCTAAAAGTTGCATCAGTTTTCTGATTAATCATGCACTCTAGCACAGGAATTGAAAGGGTAACAATGCTCAACACCTTTTGCAGAGAGTATGTGACTACCTTACACTGTTCATTTTACGGTGCATGCAAGCTCTCCCTCTCTCTCCTCCCTCTGTCTGCTTTCCATCAATAAGCAAATCTTGCAATTACAGCTCATTACTTTCCTGGCCATCATACATTGCAGCTATGAATGTTTAGGAAATCT